CGCCTGGCGATCGATAATGCTATGCGCACATCTCGCCACGCGCTCGAATTGGGCGGTAGGCCGGCCTAAGACAACGATTTTTAATAATTAATTACTTGTTAACTATTACGAAAATTGCAAAATGGTACAGGACTTTTCCATTCATCTCGATCCGTTCTACCTTCTCAAAAATTTTGTCGGATATGGAAAGACTCACCCTGTATATCCAAAATATATTTCAATATATGTTAGTACGTCATTTCGGATGTTTGCAATAATTTAAAATCAGCTGCGTTTAGCATCATATATTCTGTAAGAATAGTCCTTACGCGCAATCTAAATGCAGAATCAGTGTTTCACGCACGTTGCTTACGCACATGCGAATTATGGGGAATGTCGCGGTCGAAAGATGCGCTTTTGTTGCATCCGTGCTTGCGTCGTATCGCGAAGAGATGACCTTGCCTTCCGCTTTAGAACGCCCGGCTTAAACCCCGACCTCGAAAAGACGCGAACGAAAGTGAAACGAAGAATCGCAGAAATTCCTTTATCTTTTAATCGATGAAATGCAAGTCCCTTCGGTTATTTCGTGTTCAACTAATAAAAAATATTTTAACATTAACTTATAGATAGTTTTCCTCTTCAATGTTCATTTCAAAGCATAATTTAAACGACACGTGATTAAATAAATAAAACCTTAATTTTATATAATCGTCGTTTTTTCAAGCAAGCAGCGAGTAAAACACGCGCTCCGAGTTTTTCTATTATCGAGAAGAAGAATAAAAATGTGCAATTCTCAACATTTTTTTTAATATAACGAAATATAACTAATTTAATCACAAAATATTTCCACGATTATTATGATATAGATATCATTATATTATATACATTTGTGAACAAAGCGTCAAAATAAAATGTCGACACGCTGCATTTATCTCATTTATCCTAACGAGGCCATGTACCGCGTGTGAAGCATCAGCGTCACAAGAGAAGCTGATGTTCTTCTTTTCTGTAAAAAAAAGAAGAAGAAGAAGAAGAAGCGACAAAACCGTAGGTTTAAAAACGTTTCTCAAGCCGAGGCCGGAAGTAAGTAAAATAGAGAAAAACGTTGCGAAAGTCGTAGACGCCGGGGACGCGGCGTGGAGCCACAGCTATTTTCTACGAGGGGGACCACAGGCTCTCTTTCCTTAGTCAACTCATCGCTTTCCCGCCCCCTCTCCACCCACCCTCCGATCGCCACTACGAAGCTGCTTACCTCACGCTATAGGATCTTCCCGGTTTGGAGGTCATTGCACTGCGACGGGTGGTTGCCGCGGGGTGGTGGTCGGCGGCGAATCGATTTTCCATGACGGCGTCGCGTCGCGGCGCGTCGCGTCGCCTGTCGGAAAACGTCTCTCCTCCTCGCCCGCCCACTGTCCCTTTCCTCGTTTCCCTTCCCGCCGCGTCTGTCCCGCGCGACACGTGACCACAACGGGGATTCGCCTCTTACGAGACCGAAGGGCGCATCCTCTTCAAGATGCAGGTCGATCGATACTTTGCGGGCGTCTCTCTGCATCCACGTCCTCCGCCCTTTAAATTGTACTCCGCGGTCCACGCGCGTAATCCCTTTAAATTCACTCGAAGATATCCTCGCGATATCTGACGGGGCTCGGAAATTTTGACGCGGCCGGCGTTGTCCAATAGACAAGTCGAGCCATCAGATGCAGATCACCGATGGATTTATCGTTCAACGATCCGCAAAGGAAAAGTTAGAGGAGAAGCGTGGTCTCTTCTCGAGGTCAGCGGTTCCTCGCGCAAATCGATGCGAAAAATCGCGGCGCGAATTGACCAAGTATCGATGTATCGATGTATATCGATGTCGACGTAATACGTAAACAGTTTTCACAGCAGTGTCCAATGTCACGGTAATGAACGCTTGTTTGCACGAAACGTTACAGTTGATTGATGTTCGTTCGTGCGTGTTTGATTATACACAGTTTTTTCCTCGTACTTTTTCGGCAGCTCTTTCACCTTCCTTCTGTCCCCAGTTAGCGTCACGTCGCGGTTCCGCGGTTCGGGAAATTCTGAAACGATCTAACGCAAATCCTTTCATCCGTAATGCCGCGATCGTCGACTTGCGTGTACAAGAGAGATTCACGTAACTGTGGTGAATCGGTCGTTTCCAATTTCTTCGACGACCGCTCATTGAGGATTCTTCACACCCTGGAGATGCCTTTGTTTTCCAAGCCTTGGAAAACTCGCGTAAATACGTAAAATCCTCATACTATTGCAGTCTCCGACTGCAAACGGGATTGAATGGGGTAAAAAAACAACTGAATTATCTTGAAGTTTTACAAAAGGCTTCTGCGAAACTTTCGGGTCACAAACTATTCACGAAACACGCGTTTAAAGCAACGAATATAATTGTATGCAAACTAGTTTTCACGCAAAAATTATTCCTTGCACAACACAGCGAGGTTCCTCTGTAATGTTCACGAACACTTGACGAATTCCGAAGTGAACTGTAACGTATCGTTCACGCGGTCGTGACTTGTCCAACATCCACGAGCGGAATGAACGGGCTCTGGTCCCCGATGCCGGGAAGGGGAGGAGCGCGTAAAGTGATCCGTGGTGTCCGGGGGTGAGTCCCGTACGCCATGCGGTAGCGTTCGCGTTCGCGTTACTGCAATTCAATGCAACCACCGTGGGCTACGCTACGTGGCTCGCTTCTATCGACCGTATCGCAGTGCGACGAGGAATCGGACTGGTTGCCGCGCCGCGTGCCGCGCAGGTTTCATAAGTACTTGGGCGCGCGCGCGCGCGCGCACACGCTCGAGCACAGGTGGGGCTGAATTAGATGCTCGCGAATAGTGTCATTCTTCACCTAGCATTTTTCCCCGAGATCTTTTCTCATGTGAATTCCACGAAAAGTGAAAATTACACTTTCCTCCCTTGGCAGAATAGGATACGAGAAACTTTTCATTGAAGATTCCTCAGTCGTTGATCAAGATAGAAAACATTTTATACGCGGGGTGAATACGTTTATGGAGTATAAACCATTTTGAAGAAATAGTAAAAATAAAATAACAAGAGGGAGAGAGAGGGAATAAAGATTGTTAGCGTATTAACAATATCTATGACCAACTTTTATAATGCAAATTTAAAAACAGTTGGCTATAATCAAAGTTAAAGCAAACGACTTTGTATATTTCAGTGTACAACCGTTTATTATGTCACAACAATTTTATCCCTGCTCTTACCAGCAAAATTAACAACTTAAGTTTAGATTTGAAGACTTTATCTTAAAATGTTTGCAGTATATAACAAATATTTTATGTGCTCAGCAATATCTCACAAGGATCTTTATCGAACAATAAAATATAACCAGCGAATTAAATTTAGATGATCTTAACAAAAGATTATTTAAAAAGAAACGTAAAGCTTAAGACGGAAGACGCGTATCATCTCCCATAATTCGCAAGATCATCCTTTACATTCCTCGAAGTCTGTACGTGCAGCCTTATCGCCGGATCCGTAATATCAAGCTCGTTGAGGGCTGACCAATTAAGGGCCGCACGCAACGGATCATTGCCCGGATTAAGACCCCGACGATCGGGTAGATATTTCACTATCTCGATCGATTTCCGTTCCGATCCGCTCTCGCGAGACTACGGAGTCGTGTACAGCTCGTTCTAATGGCTATTAATTACGAACAGAGGAACGGTCTAAGTCGCTTCAATTAATTCATGCGCGATAACAATCGGCAAGTTTACGTCGTCCAAATTCCCGTTCCATTAAGATGCATCAGCATCGGCGATATTTAACGGTTCGCGATGATGGTGATAGGCGCTTATTACCGCGAGGTGACGAGAGAGGCCACGTTTATAACCGCGCCGTGACCACCAGAAATCTGGAATCTGGCTATCCGCCACATAACTCGTGCCCGAAACGTGGAATCCTCGCGAAGATCAATTGCAGCTGGGATTTTAGTAACATCTGTTGATTGATCTTCACTTAGGGATCATCGTTCCCCGCGATATTAAAATGCAAATTATTTTATAAATAAATCCTCCAGCCAAAACAACTGTATTTTTTTAACTTACGATAATCCCGTCTCAGTGAATTCTTTCCATTATTTTCCGTAACAAGAAAAATATAACAGAAAAAAAGTGGCGACAATTGTTTCTATATATTTGATACTTATTGTCATTAAAAATTTCCTTCTACATATTTAAATCCTTAAATCCCCGGCGATGTCGTGAATAGGAACAAGAAATCCACGGCACGTAGAAGCACGGTCATATATGTGTGAATTATAACTCGCATAAATTTCCATGTCGAGCGGTTGCACCGTACGCGAGCTTGAAGCGTATAGAAGAGCACGGAATACGTTTGCGCTCGCGACAGGACCCTGTCGCGGATAATCCTGACAATACCGGCGATCTCGCGGGCCAAGTGTTCTAAATTGCGTGTAACGCTCGGCGCGACGGTATGCCATGCCGAAAACGTTGCCGACATGAAATTATGTGGAATGTTTCACGAATGAATTTCTGAGGCCCGAGGGGGGTCCCTGCCTCTAAGTAGCGGCTTGTAGCGTCAAGCTATTCCAGCTCAGGGGAATAGGGCACGCGTCGCATAGAGAACCCGCGACATGTGCAAGTTGTCGACGAAAGTTAGATAACGGTATATATAAAGTGCTTCGAAAGATAACACTTGCATATACAGTGCGTTGTCGGTTCTGTTTGAAGCTTGTGAAAATGTTTGCATTATAAATAATGGAGAAACGAATAGGAATACGTAAGAGAGTGATATAAGTAGAATTTATAGAAAATCCAAGATTCTCGTGTGGTTTTACGTCTCAATATATTATATTATCCAGCTGTATTTAAAAGCCGGGAAGTTATGTTTTCCGATTAATATTCTATAACAACAAAATGTATGCTTGTAAAATATTTATTTTTAGATCTTATCATGCGCAATTAAAAATGCGTTACTTCATTTATATAAAAAGAAAAGACTGCCTTCTTTATTCAGCTATTCTTCAATCATTTATTTTACTAGTTTCCAACTAACGGTCGTTATTTTACTTCTCGTTCAATATTTCTTGCATTATTTTGCTTTGTGAAGAAGCATGGCGAGCTAATTAACTCTTAAAAAACCCTGATTTAATAAATTTAATAAAGGATTATTTTATTCTAGACAAATAAATTGTACTTTATTATTTTATCTTGTCTAGTTAGACACTTAAAAAAATTAAACTTAATTACTATTGGTACTTAATTAATAACTACTAAACTTAATATATATCTTTATTCTTGGGAAAGCATTACATTTAACACAGATCTACTGTACGACCAAGTCGAGTCCAATTATCGTAGCAAGGTACAATAAAAGGATGAAACTTTCACGGAGAATAAATGACTGATGACACCCGGAGAATGGAAACGATGTTGAGAATTTGGACGTCAGTCCTCTTCATACGCAATGATGATAAGTTTCCTGTATTGGCCGCAAAGCGGTGCCTACTGTGTGATCATTATAAATTATACGTAATGATGCTAGACTGAAAACGGCACACCCGAGCTGAAACTATGCGGAATGTTGTCATGAATTGCCTAGGCGGATGCTTCCTTCAATTATAGTTGCGGTATCCCCTTCGGCCATTTCTCGTACTCGCAAAGCTAACTGAATTTGAACATATATACTTAGCTTCGAATTACTTCATATCCTGCTTGCGTGCTAAGCGTAAATAAGATATCGATCACATCTCAATAAATTACATCAATTTTATATTCTCACAAATTGCATCGCTTTTGATAGAGAAATTATTGTAGAACTGTGATCTCTGTGGACAATGTAAGCCGCGCTTTCCGCCATTCTTTGCTACCATTTCTATGCATTTATTGATCGAGTTCCACGATACGCATGAGCGAAATATTGTTCGCGTCGACTTTTCGTGTTTTCTTTCCTGTTTACGTGCTTCAGTTTTAATCGTTTCTTTCGGAGAATGTAGGTATTACTTCTTAGCATTTCTTTCTTCCTCTTTTTCTGATTTCCATTTCCAAACCAAATTTTCTTAACTTAAAGTATCTTTTAAGGAAGTTATTTTGTAAAATCATTTATGTGAGAATTGTTTCAAACGATGCAAGCATCTTCTCACGACATTCTTTTACAAACACTGTCACAAATAGACGGCTTAATTCTGGTAAGCGATACACCTCTGGAATGAGCAATCAGCGGTGCCAGTAATTCATGTAAAGTGACAACGACGTAATTTAGGCGCCACATAAATCCGCAAACGTTGCCGGTCGGTGGTCAAAGATGAAGTCGCGGGACTAAAGTTTCGCACCGCATTCCGTAAGCGGGATTCCAGAGAGCAGCGTGCGGTGTGTGCACGCACGTACATACATTCCCCGGGGAACCACAAAGAAAGTTGCGCGGAATGTCGAGAGAGTCGCAGACGCGTAAATCGCTCGGCGCTCTCTCGTACACGTAGGTGCGTACACCCGCGTGTAAATATAGATCGCGTCCCGAAATATGTCTTTCAGTCCGCACTTAAAATCGTCGCTTCCGCCGGCGATCCGTCGGAGTTCCCGTTATCTTAAGGGCCGTTGGATTGCCGCCACCGTGCTTTTTAAGAGCGTTACGGTAGCATAGATCAATCACTTTGCGAGCGGTCGGGTAGGAGGGCACTTTCGAAGAAAGATATTTCAAGAAACGTACTTCGAGAATGTAATAATTTGCAGGCACATTTTCAACTCCTTTCGGTCCTGTATTAATCATGCAAAGGCACTGGACTATACGCACTTGATTACTGTACAAACTAAAAGAATACGAGCGCTTTTTTCCACGATAATATCCAGCCATTGTACTTTCGAATTTTTGATTGATAATTGGATATGAAGATCGCTTTAACCCTGTTGAAATTTGTAAAATTAAGTAAGTGAGATGCGCACGTACGACGGACATTTTATACTATATAATTTTATTCTAAATTCAAATATGTATCATAGATTAAAAAATGTGTGCACTTGAGCTTAAAAATGTAAAAGAGAAAGACATTTTTTTTCAATTTACTATTATCAATCTACTTTTGATAAAGGAAGGTAGTCTTTTTTTCTTTTCCCTTGAAAGAAAATTAATTTCATTCAGTATATTAAACAGTTTTTAAATAGAATTAAACAGATTTCTCCGTACAGTTTTCACTGTGAAATTATTAGATAGCTACATTCGTCGAATCGAGAGAATTTCTCAAGGAAGCGATAGAGCAAGAAGAGATCTTCGATCCATGCAATCGTTCGGGCGTAAAGCCAGCGGTGTCGTCTGATGATAGGTAGATCAGATCCTCGATCGAGCGAAGCCACGCGAGAAGGCCACAGGATTAACGGTAAGCGAGCCATCGATCTCGAATTTATTCAGTTCGTGTCGTGGTGAAACTGTCTTAATTTCCAGGTCGTTCACTATCACTGAAGTACGTATAATACATAATAATTTAATAATTTAATAATTCATAGTATGCCTCTTTTATATTTTTTTTAACAGTGCATTTCTTTTGATTAGTTAAAAGAGAAAGCAATTATATATTTTTCAATTTTTCAAAGATTTTTGCCTCACTGGTGAGGGAAACAAGATGCTCGAAATAAACTTGAAACTACACAGTAATGATATAAATTTTCCTTTTATTCCTCAGAGAGAATTTCCACGAGATAATGTCTAGTGTGACCTATCACAGTCTGTTTAGACGTT